GGTGGTACATTCCCTGGTCTAGGTCCCCCTGGAGCTTCCATCAATTATTAAACAAATTTCCCACCTAAATTCAAAAATCCCAAGTCATAAAAAAAAAGGCAAAACCTCTGTCCAACAACCACTTCATCTCACACCGAAAACAAGAGAGATACACAACATGTGTTTGATATAAGAAAAACGTTTTCCACGAAAATTAACTTACCTTGTCTAATCATTTTTCAAGCATTTGCTTCAGTATAAAATAAAGTTACACATAACAATCCTAAAAACAGGAGAACAAGTAAAGTACTAAAGATTCAATTTTTGGTATACTTTTACCCCACTATTTACAGAAAAAAAAAACACTTTTTTTCTGGAATACGATGTAGTATGGAAAAAAGAACTCTCACCAGCTCTCCGTCGACGGAATTCTTCGCCGGCGGCAAACAAAAAAGGCGTTTCCGATGAACTGAATCGCTCCGGCGAATTCAAATAGTGAAATTTGGGAAGAAGGGAATTTGTATATTTGCTTTTAGATTCCCGCAATATTTCACCTTCCTTATATACTTCATTATTTTTTTCAACATTATTTTTTTCAACTTTACCAAATATAAAAAATATAATTGAAAATTAAAATTTGCGATTTATACGTGTATTAAAATTATATAGCTATAAATGGTCAAATATTTTTCAAATATGGTACTCCCACTGTCACTATTTATTAGTCAAATATTTTTTAATTTGATTTATTTTTTTACTTATCATCTTTAACAAATCAATAAAAGATAATCTATTTTTTTCTATTATATCTCTAATTTATTAATATTGAGTTAATATCTTTGAAAAATGTAGTGAAGAAATATATTTGATATACTATCAATTAATAGGGGTAAAATGGTAAATTCACTATATCAATCAATATTTTCTTAATAGGTAATTAGGTATGTCAAGTCAAAATTTTACTAGTTATATTTAGATAAGTTCTCCTTTAAATTTTTTGTTTAAACTACTAACACTAATTATTTATAAGAATACAGTTGAAATCAATGAGTCAGATGCTACATCGATGAAATTTTATGGACAAATTAAATTGTCACGCACATTTAGGTGATGGTATTCAAACACTTCTTCTAGGTCATGTTAAAACGCAAACATCTCATAGTACGAATATAAAATACAAACAACTCATAGTGCAAATATAAAACTCGTAAAATAATAATATTTTTGATATGTTTTTTACCATTATCTCAATATTATGTCTAAGAAGTAGCTACTGTGGTGAAACCAAAATTTGATAAACTTGTCAACAAGCTAATTGCTTGTTTGAGTATTGATGCATAACATATTAAATGATTAATCATATATAGATATATATAAAAGAGAACATTAGGCCCGCCTATGTGGCCCCACCAGAATTCAAGATTCCCTTTTAATTTATTTATTTTCAAAAACTAGCCTTCCCCTTTCATTAAAAGTTGTGACTTTTATGAAAAATTACGACTTTTTTGAAGAGTTACGACTTTTTTGAAGAGTTGTGACTTTTATGAAAGGTTGTGTCCTTTCTGATAAGGCACAATAAATATTTGTTCACATTACTCTTTGTTGTTTATAAATAGAGGAATTTTCTCTCATTTTAAAATAACAAAAATTTTGAACTTCTTCTTCTTCTTCTTTTGCACAATTAAATATTCGTGTACTTTGCTCCTGTTGAGTGACTCACTTCACCATTGTTTTTTGTATCAATACACTGGTGAATAGAATCGTTTTATTCTGAGATGATCTATTCCTTTAAACCTCGGGTACTAGAAGAGAATAATTTTCTTAATGGTACACTATGCATTTAGTGGGCTCAATTTTTTCCTTTCTGTTTCATTCTATTGTTACAGACTTACAGATCCTAGTATTTTTTTTTACAGTCATTAATTTATGTTTATTTTATTAATTGTTGTTTTTGAGTATATCTTTTAAACTTTGTTGTTTATGTTTTTTCAAAGTTATTGTTACAAGTATTTGTTAGTACAAATTAAATAACACACGTTAAATGAGTACTCATGCAAGTTTTCTCTACTAAAATTGTTGAAAGTAGAGTAAAAGAATTCCTTAAAGATCTGTACTACCATATCTTGAAGACAAAATTCAAATTTGGTATGTCATTGTAAACACATAAAGATCTTAAAAACTTTATCACACCTTGATGTGCGAAGTGAACCAGGAAAAGAAGACAAAAATTAATAAACTTTTGACATAAGTTTTAGGATGTGTTGAATGACCTATAAAGGAATATGACTAGACTGCAACATCTTAATTTAATCCCAAAAAAATAGATAACTACACAATAAATTAATTGTTCATATTCAATATGAAGTATGAACAAATTTCTCAAGTTTACTGCAAGTTGTAAATACTTTTTTTGAAGTAATAGATGTGTTTTCAACATTGTGATTGGAATAGAAGTGCAGTCTCAAATTGAACTTCATCACTCTGGTATGTTGATTTTTAAAAAACACTCAAACAAATTAAATAGTTTTGCGTAATATTTTTCCCTTTCAAATAATATAATAAGTTGAATTGTTGTCCAATATGATACATTTTTCCTTTAATTTTCATTTTAATAGTTACTTATGATACATTTAAATGGGAACTTTAAAGTGATATATGTAAAACAAAAGGTTGTGCTAAACTTTCTATACGTTAGAATTAGAATATTTGTTCACTTTTTTCAACATTTTACAATTTATTTATCTCTACACCATCGATTATTTATTTATTAGAATATTTAATATTACCGATTGATGCATTTGATTCCTGGAAGCAAAATGATAAATTATAAAATCAAATTAAAGACGATTGATTGAAGGATAAATAATAAGATGCTATAATTATCACTTCCTTTGTAGTGTTTTACTTTAAATAACTAATGGGTGTATTATTTTATAAATTCCGTAACATTAAATTTCCGGGCGAGACGCGGGTAATTTTACAATATATATACATATATAAAAGTATGCTTCAGTGGCAATATTAGTCGCTACTAATGCTGATAATAGTCGCCACTAAAAGTATGTTTTAGTAGCAACATTAGTTGCTGCTAATGCCTATAATAGTGGCTACTAATAGTGTGTTTTGGTAGCAACATTAGTCGCTGCTAATACTGATAATAGTCGCCACTAAAGAATGTTTTACTGGCAACATTAGCCGCTGCTAATACATATAATAATCGCCACTAAAAGAATGTTTTAGTGGCAACTTAGTCGCTGCTAATGCTTATAATAGTCGCCACTAAAAGTATGTTTTAATAGTCGTTGCTAATGCATATAATAGTTGCCACTAAAAGAATGTTTTAGTGGCAACATTAGTCGCTGCTAATACATCTAAATATCACCACTAAAAGTATGTTTTAGTAGCAACATTAGTCGTTGCTAATGCCTATAATAGTCGCCACTAAAAGTATGTTTTAGTAGCAACAATAGTCGCTGCTAATGCCTATAGTAGTCGCCACTAAAAGTTGTTTTAGTGGCAAAATTAGTCACTGCTAATACCTATTATCGTCGTCACTAATAGTTTGTTTTAGTGACAAGATTCCCAGCCACTAATACCTATAATAGTCGCACTAAAAGAATGTTTTAGTAGCAAAATTAGTCGCTGCTAATACCGATAATAGTCGCCACTAATAATTCGTTTTAGTGACAAGATCTCACTTGGACAAAACTTTCGTCATTTTAATGTTTTTCTTTTTTTCCTTCTCATTCAACTCTTCTAAATATTTTTTGTGTAAGTTATGACTATTTTCGGCTAGCTTAATTTGAAGAATATAAAACAAAACCTGCTCTAAATAAAAGTAATACTTTAAGCAACAAAAGATATGTCTATTAACATAGATTTGTTGTCCTATATGTCCCAAGTTATTGCAGAACATTTGAGTTATCTAGGTTAGATTCATTTTTAATTTTTTAATGTTCGAAAATATTTCTTTAACATGAGTCTAGAATCCAATATTTTGATCTATTTGTAATTTCATAATGAAACAATTATACATACATATTTCTGAAAAAGTCGTAAAGTTGCATTGATGAAGCATCTAAAAGGGGCTTCAAAGCAGCAGTTTAATAAATAATGAATTTCTATAAGTGTTAACAATATTATTTTGTTGTTGTTTCAAATTAATTTTTCTCCTTTTATAAATTTTGTTAGAGTAACAAAGTAACAATAATGAAAAGTAGTGAACGTTTGACCTCAGATAAGTAGATTATCTCTAAAAGAATTTATTTATGTTGTTGTGGTGTACATTTTTAACAGTCTTAACTTATTTATAACTAATATTGATTATCGAAAAGTTTTACATAATTTTTTTTTCACAAGGAGTTATTCTAACCATAAAATTATCAAATTCTATATTTTTCATGTACAAAAAAATAGAAAAAATTATGTTTAATTGCTACATAAAAACATCACTCAGTTTTAACAACACAATTATATCATCAAACACATATTATGATAAATTATGTAAAAGATAAAAAAAATTAGATCTCAAGATATTTTTAATCATTCAATATATATTTACAATTCTTTAGATATGTGATAATGTCAAATCATTTAATTTATGTTGAAATGTTTTTAAAACCTACTAAAATTTATTTATTTTCTTATAACAGTCGATTATTGGAAAAGTTGTTCAAAAGTTTAGAAAGATTATTTATGTTCGCGCAAAGTGCGGGTAAATTACCTAATTTTCATAATATAAAGTCTTAGGAATAGTCCGACAAATTTGTTGTTTACGTTTTTAGTTAGTATACATAGATTATTCACTTATTATATACAATTAAACATATATTATATATTTCTCAACTATTTTTAATTTAATCAGTTTGGTGGACAATTATTTAGGCTGATTCTCCAAAAAAAAACAATTAGATTTGTCTAAACTCATATCTAGTATTCTGGCTCCGCCACTGAGTAGCTAGTTTGCATTAAAAATTTATAAATTGAGGGGTTGCTTGGTTTAGTGATAAGTTACGCGGGAATTAGCAATGCAGCGATTAATAATACGAAAATATAATGCATGAATTTGATATATTAACTACCTAACTACAGAAAAATTAGTGTTCATTGTCTCATCAGTTTACAACTTGGTCTACATAGGCCTTGTTCCTGATGCAAAAATGGTCTTTTTGTGCTAACAGGGAAGGTCATGATAAGCTCGGAGGTAGAAGTAAGATCTCTGTCTCGAGAAAGAAACTCGAGGGGTTTGGATTAAGATCAATGGTGAGCGACACGGATGACCTGTTTACCCATGTTCCGTCCAGAAAACAGTCCAACAAAGGCAGAAGGACCACTCTCGAGGCCTTCGTTCATGTCTTCTAAGTATGTAATATTTCCCTGCTTGTACAACCTAGTAACGTCTTCAAGAAAGCGCGGAAATAGATGTAGATAATCGCTCTGGAGAAAGCCCTGCATCTTAACGCGCTTAGTGATGAGCTGAAACAAGTTGTGTATACCTTGTGGATTAGAAAGGCTTTGCTGAGAAACCATTCCACAAATGGCAATCCGGCCATGGATCCTCATGTTGAGCAATGCTGCGTCCAGAATGGATCCGCCAACGTTGTCAAAGTAAATGTCGATCCCCTCGGGGAAATGTCTATCCATAAAAGTGAAAATGAGAGTCAGAAGTTTTCATTGTTGCTACGAAAATGACTATATTCATCTTTATCATGCTCTAAGTAGAGGTAGAGGCAAATCCAGGATCTAGAGTCGGTGAGTTTAGAACGAGCGTGATCTTACTATGTTTTTCTCTCATAACAATGAATCCATTTGAACTCACAAAACCGATCCTAAATCCACGAGCTCTAAATTATTCTACTTTCCAACGGTTAGTGACGTTTGTTAAGACATTTTCCTCACCTTTTGAGAGCTTTATCAAGATCTACTTCTTCCTTATAGTTGAATGCTCCATCAAATCCAAGCTTACTCTTTAATATGTCAACCTAATAATATGTGGTTGAATGTTCAGTCAGTTATAACATGAAATACAACAAATGCAGTTTCTAAAAGACGTTACAATCCGCGGAAACAGACTTACTTTTTGTTTTGTCCCAGCACATCCTACGACGCAGCATCCATGTAACTTCGCGAGTTGGCCAACGAGCTGGCCAACTGCTCCCGAGGCAGCAGAAACGAAAACATAATCCCCTCTTTTAGGTGTGCAAACCTTGTAAAATCCAGCATAAGCTGTAAAACCTGGCATGCCTGTATAAAGTCCACATTCATGAGACATCATTATATAACTAGAAAATCGTGTCTAACAATACGAGAGGAATAGGCAAGTCCCCGATCCTATATGATCCCTTTCTTTTTTGCCCCGATGGTTAGTTCAAGTGGTAAAGATCGAGGGATTTGCGATTTAGATCACAGGTTCGGGCCCTGCATCAGGCAAACTAAGCCTGATATTCAAGAGGATAAGGGTAGAGGGACGGCCCATTATCCCCGAGGTTCAAAGTCTGGGGATGATCCTAAGGATTCACCCATAGGAATTTCTTGGTCATCAAACAAAAATCACTTACAAGAAGAAGTCTTACTTGGATTCGGATACAACTCCGACAAGGAAATACATAAAACATAAATAATTTCGTAAGTTCGCTGTATTGAACTCAAAAAAATACTAGTTTGGTGATAAGGATATGATACTGAAGAGGCGGAAACAGGAGTACGAAAAGCTCAGAAGAAGAGAAACAAAAACTATAAGAATGAATGTTATGGTGCTAATAAAAAGTGGAGACTTTAGGTCAAGATTAACCATACCAAGAAGACCGACATGATACGACAGAGGCATATCATCCGCCTGAGTTTTCCTCAGCTGCTCGGTATTGTATATTAAGCTGTATTCTTCCCAACCAGTGAAACCTGAGACTATATCACCTGGTTTGAAGTCTGGATTATCCGAGTCTAAAACTTTGGAGACGCCAAATCCTTCAATTACCTTTTGAAAACGCGTATAGGATAAGTTTCATTACACGAGATTTATGGCCAAGACAAAATAGGAAAAATCTCAAATACTAGTATGTAATCTTTGTACTACATCAAAGTTCAACTATAAATGCAGCTATTTGAACTGGTTTTTTTGGTGCTCGTTGTCTGGTGTATGAAAATATTGGCCTCCGAGAATTCGACAGATCTTGTTTGTTAAGCACTGGAAGCAAACATTGCCTCCAAAAACAGTGGTTCTATTGTTGTGTAAAATGTAGTTTGCCACCATCAAATGTCTCCGTTAGACAATTGTATAGAACTTAGGACACACACAGCCATATAAGTCCACTATGTAGCTTATTTTTACAGAAACAACAAAACTATGATGACAACGGCAGTGTTCAAGAAAAAAAGGCTTGAATTCCCACTATGAAATGTATCAGTTAATTAGATAAACAATAAACGTAAATGAACTTCGGAGACTTCAGATAGGCAACCAACTACACATAACTACACTAAACATCCAGTTTCTCTAAAAACAGAAAGTCTATGTTGTTCGGACTCTTCCAGAATGATGACAGGTGAGTGTTGGATCTTCTAAAAGTAGTGCATTTCTTAGGAAACACAAAAAGCTATTATTCATTACACAAAACTTCTGGCCAAGACAAAATAGGGAAATTGTCAAATATGAGCATGTCATGATCTTTGTACTACAAAGTTTTCAATTATAAATGCAGCTGCTAGATCTGGACCTGTGGTGTTTGTTTTCTGGCAGTGGAGAATTCGACAGATTTTGTTATTTATGCACTAGCAGCAAACATCGCCTCCAAAAAGAGACATAAACTGTAACCGTAATTGAACATTAGACACTTCAGATAGGCAACCAACTATGCATAACTACACTAAATATCCAGTTTCTATGAAAACAGAAAGCCTATGTTGTTCGGACTCTTTCAGAATGCAGATAGTTGAGTGTTGGATCCTACAAAAGTAATGCATTTCTTAAGGATCCGACACAGGTGCGACAACATTTTGGAGAGTCCAAGCAACATAGCCTAAAAAGGCTAATAGTACAGTAGGTAACGCTCGACTATTATGTCACCTTAAAAGATAACTACAGTTAACTGAAAAGCGAAATTGATAACACGGAAAACAAGGCAAGCACATTCCCTATAAAAAGTAAAACTACACTTAACTAAAAATAATTCAACCATGTCATCAGTATATATAAATTAAATCCTTACCTCTCCCAAAATGAAAAGAGGGAGGTAACACAGAAAACAAAGCAACCACATTTACTATACCAAGTAAAAACTACACTCAACTAAAAATAACTCTACGATGTCAGTATATATAAGTTAAATCCTTACCTCTCCCGAAATGAAAAGAGGGAGGTAACACAGAAAACAAAGCAACCACATTTACTATACCAAGTAAAAACTACACTCAACTAAAAATAACTCTACGATGTCAGTATATATAAGTTAAATCCTTACCTCTCCCGAAATGACAAGAGGGAGGTAACACGGAAAACAAAGCAACCACATTTACAATACCAAGTAAAAACTACACTCAACTAAAAATAACTCTGCGATGTCAGTATATATAAGTTAAATCCTTGCCTCATTACTTACCTCTCCTTGAAATAACTCGACAATGTCAGTATATATAAGTTAAATCCTTAGGACATTACTTACCTCTCCTGGAACGAAAGGAGGGAGGTAAGACCCCGTGAAATTGCGCATCCGTCCACGCATAAAAGGATCACAAGACAAGTATAAATTCTTCACCAATAATCCATTTGACCCTTTTGGAACTTTTTCAAGATTCAATTTTTTACCAATTTTCAACTCCATATCACTTTCTTTTGGAATTCCTTCAATATATCCTTTGAATATGATTTGTTTGTTTTCCACTGTTTTCCCTAGTAGCTGATCTACTGCTTCTTCTTCTATTTTCTCCATTTTTTTCAAAAATAAATTAAAAATTGCAAATTTACTCAAAATTCAAGAACACTTTTTTTTTTTTGGAACCCCTTTTGTTGTGGTTTTAGATTGATCACAAAAATGGTGGGCATTTGAGAAATTGGGGGTCGAGTGAAGTGTGTAATTATGGCTGGTGTTAGGTACCAACTACCCCATTCTTGTTTTTTTTTTCTTTCTGTTGTTCTTTTGTTGTGTGGGGGGGTGGGGTGGGGGGGGGGTTCAATCTTTTTTTAAAAAATTATTTCTCGTCCCGTGTTTTGTTCTCACATTGAAGCCCGATTAAATCTGAATTGTGCTGAGAAGTCCCACATTGGGATAAAATGCTTCCTAACAAAGATGACTTCGTACCCAGGAGGACTCGAACCCGAGACCTCTTGGGACTTGATTTGGGACCACACTATATTTGGATTCGCATTGTAGGATTGCATATGTGCCTAGGGGTGTGCACTATTTGGATTAAACCGAAAAATCAAACCATATCAAATCGAATTCTAATTTGGATTGGTTTTTTGGATTTTTGGTTTGGTTTTGGATTTATAATTTACTTTGTTTGGTTTTTTTGTTTGGTTTCGGATTTAGAAAAATAAAAACCAAAAAAACTGAATTAATTATATATATATATATAGAGAGAGAGAGAGAGAGAATTAAGTTGGAGTTAACCACTTTTGTCCCTTTTTAGTTACCTTTTATGTTTGGACATCTATAATTGATATATTTTTAAGTATTGTATTTTACGTTTTACTTGTGATATATATATATTATTTTTTCCAAATTGCTAATATAACTTTGTTATGTTTCTAATTATTGACATAACCGATTAGCCGAACCGAAAAAAACCCAAACCAAAAAGAGAAAAACCAAACCAAACCAAATTTATTTTGGTTCAAATTGGGTTACACTTCTTCAAAACCAAAAACCGAAAACCCAAACCGAATAGTATAAAACCAAACCAAAAAATCGAATGCACACCCCTATATGTGCCTGATAAAATTCAGATTTACGTGGCGCAGGATTTATTTCTAGGGATAGCGCTTCCAACGTGATTTTCTCCATTGGATTAGGATAAAAGGTTAGTAGATAGAAGAGTGTTGTTTTGCGTATTCATGTGATTTTCTCTATTCTAAACTCTAGTTTAATCAAGTAGCAATGGTAGGACAACTAGATGTTCAAAATTTCTCACGTTCATGTAAGTTTTGAAGATGGGTTACACCTAAGTCATTATAATGAAGGCATAATATAACTAATTGATTTCACGGCTCTAAGTCGTTACTCCGATGCTCCTCTTCAAAAAAAAAAATATATATAATTATTTTATTAAACGTGAGACTCGTAAATAATAAGCTACATTACCTATTTTAATAAGCAAAATGCATTAATGCACTATTAAAATAAGAACGTTTCTAATACAATCAAAATATATCTAAAGTTAAATCCTTCCAAAATAACTCCTTTGTAGCCTAAATAGGAGTAATAATTCTTTAAATCAACTTAAAATAAAAATATATATTATTTTCCTCATCAATCCTACATTAAAAGGAGAATGTGATTACTTTAATGTCTTATTTACCCCAATCTAATAAACTTATTATTTTTCTCGACCATATAGTAAACAATTTTTAGTTTTCATTTTCAAAGTTAAAAGTTCAATCTTTTGCATGCATTACTTTTCTTGTATAATCAAGAAAAAAATAATGACATTAAAAATATTTATAATAATAATTTAAAAAAAAATAAATGAGAATGGCATAGCACAAGAAGAGCAATTTTGTTTAAAAATTAACCAAAGAGCAAACTATGCTTACGGACAAACCATAAAAAAATTAAATGGCTATCTTTTTCTTGTGACATATATAAATTAGCAATGTATTTTTTCCAACATAAAATTGTCAACTTGTTCTTATTTAGTTGTCCTTTCCTCTCATCAACATATAAAAAAAAATTGTGATTTTTATATGTTAGACTCAAAAGAGGACATAATTGAGAGAAAATAAAATTTTTTGCAAAAGATGAATAAACAAATAATTAGTTTTGTTCTTCTTTTGCTCTTTTCATGTTTGGTACATGGAGAAGATCCTTATCTTACTTTCGAGTGGAAAGTTACTTATGGAACTATTTCACCTCTAGGTGTACCACAACAAGTCATTTTAATCAATGGTCAATTCCCTGGACCTAAAATTAATTGTACATCAAACAACAACATTGTTGTAAATGTAATCAATCAATTAGATGAACCATTCCTTATAACATGGAAAGGGATTCAACAAAGGAAGAATTCATGGCAAGATGGTACATTGGGGACAAATTGTCCTATCCCTCCTGGTAAAAATTTCACCTATCATTTCCAGGTTAAGGATCAGATCGGTAGCTATTACTATCACCCAACAACCGCGCTACATAGGGCAGTTGGAGGGTATGGTCCTATAACTATATATAGTCGCGCATTGATCCCTGTCCCATTTGATACACCGGCTGATGATTTCACCGTTCTTGTGAGTGATTGGTATACTAATAGTCATAAATCATTGAAAGGTCTTTTAGACACGGGGCGTTCACTAGGAAGGCCAGATGGGATTGTTATAAATGGTAAAAGCGGAAAAGGTGATGGTAAAGATGAGCCTATGTTTACAATGGTTAAAGGAAAGACATATAGGTTTAGGTTTTGTAACGTAGGTATGAAGGATACAATCAATGTTCGAATTCAAGGACATACAATGAAACTTGTTGAGATGGAAGGATCTCACACTGTTCAAAATTTGTATGAGTTGTTGGATATTCATTTGGGACAATGCTTATCTGTCTTGATTACTGCTGATCAAAACCCTAAGGACTATTTCATTGTTGCTACTTCACGTTTTACTAAGGAATCTCGTGTCGCGACTGCCACCATCCGTTATGCCAACGGTAATCTTGAATTACGTGATCATTTCATCTATAATTATTTAAACTGTTTGAATGAACATATATAAAATCCGTCAGAACATGGATATCCGTGGGAAATCTACATATTTCTGGTAACAACACTTTCAATTACTTGATTATATTTTGTTTTTAGCTCATTATGACATTTGAACTTTCTAGGACTTATGTCTACTCTAATACAATAATGGACTATTGTATCATGACAACCTCACATGTTTTGTTACTTATTTAATTATATTATGTTTCAACAGGTAAAGGTCCCGCCTCTCCTCTTGAAAAGAAAGAAGCTCCGGAAGGATGGGAGTGGTCACTCAACCAATTCAACTCATTCCGTTGGAATTTGACCGCGAGTTCAGCTAGACCTAACCCTCAAGGTAGTTACCACTACGGTCAAATCAACATCACACGAACCATTAGGTTGGTGAGCACCGCCGGTGTTGTGAACGGGAAACACCGTTACGCCATCAACGGTGTCTCACACACGGATCCCGAGACACCGATTAAGTTGGCTCAATACTATGGTGTTGCGGACAAGGTGTTTAAATATGGACTATGTAAGGATGAGTATATACCACCAAGTGGAAATGAAGTAATCACAATTGCACCTAATGTGGTTAATGTTACATATCGCAATTTTGTTGAAATTATACTTGAAAATCATGAGAAGAGTGTTCAATCTTGGCATTTGGATGGATTCAACTTCTTTGCTGTTGCGTAAGTACCTCAATTCTCCTATACTTTTAAAGTTCTTAACATTGAATTCATCCTAATTTTTGAAATTATAAGTTCAACCGTTAATGCTAATTACTAGAAACTTTATTGATTTGTCACACCACAAACATACAATACATCGTTGAATCATACACCACATACCTAAAATGTTTTACCACGTGAAAAATGTTATTTAAGTTATATGACAAATTGTAAGTATGCATAGGAGATCATCCTCCCCCCCCCCCCCCTCCCGCAAACAACAACTATATCTCAATCCGGACCAAACCTGACTGCTAGGACAAGGCTTGGTATATTTTCTTCCCTTTATCAGCAGGCGGTATAGTCGCATTACAATTATTCCACCAGTAGAGAAAATTATATGAATTCTCATTGATCATGTTGAACTTTATGACAGTGACCTAAAATACAAAACCACCTATCTTTTCGACCCTCCTTAAAGTGTCCTAAAACTTTCTTACATAGTAGGGGTTTCAGATATCATTCCAAATCACATATTCAAACCCCATACCTAATTTTATTTTTTTTAACTTTCTATATAAATTTCTGACTCCACCACTGCTCTGTCATTTAGGATTGCGCCAGGGAGATGGAAGCCAGAGATGAGACAAAACTACAACTTACTTGATGCTGTGAGTAGGAGCACAATCCAAGTGTACCCAAATTCATGGGCTGCAATTATAACAACTCTTGACAATGCTGGGCTTTGGAATTTAAGGTCCAATGCACTTGAAAAACAATATTTGGGCCATCAACTCTATTTTAGTGTTAATGCACCAAACACATCTTTGAAAGATGAGTACAACATGCCTGATAATGATATATTGTGTGGAATCATCAAGGATTTGCCTCATCCAAAACCTTACTCCATATAAAGTAGATCAATCGATCAAGCGAGCGATATGTGATATTATGTAACGAGATTTTATATTTTTGTATTCTCTTGAAAAAACATCATCTTTTTGTTGTTGTGGTATGAATTGATTAATTACTAGGATTTATTTCCAATTGTACATCTTAATTCCAAGAAAAATCAATGTATTTATCATTATTTTTCATGTCTCGAATGATTTATTTTCTGAATCATTTTGTAGTGAAATTTTATTTTTTTTCGGTCAAAGTATTCCGCGATTTGAATTTGAATTTCTTTTGTCTCGTGTTTCTTTTTTCAGTATGGTGAAATGAATTAGTTATTTGTTTCTTTAAATGTTTATAATATATTGACACCACTTCAAAACAACAAATACGTATCAATTTTTGATATAAGAAGTAAAAATTCAAAACTCGTTACAAGTTGAATAATTATAATTTTTTTATTTTTTTATTTTTTAATGAATTTTTGGTGGCTTGGTGGCCTTTTATTTTGATTACAGAAAATTTTGAGTTTGGCTGAATAGTAATTTAAATTCACTCGTTTCTTTTCTTAGAAAACTCTTCATCTCGTGTTGATTTGAGATGAATTTAAATAAAGTAATATGATTAGTAAGAATTTATATAATCGATTCCAAACTCATATAAAACTCCTTATCTCACTCAAAATATATATCAATTGAGACGTGAAAAATACCATTTCGCTGCATTGAAAATGTATTTCTTATTCTATGCATAATAAGATGATTGTACATATAAGTTTTGTATAATAAGATTGTACACAATAAATAAATGATATTTTCAACATTGATCATAAATCATATTTTGAGAGACATTAGGTGTCTGAAGTTCGAACATATAATGTCCCTACAATTTCAAACAAAATTATGGGAAATTTGGTCTTCCCAAGTCAAACTTCAAATGTGTACGTCGAAAATTCACTTACTTTCAAATTGTCTAAAGTTAGATTTTGAAAAACAAACTTCAAACATGAACGTCTAAAGTTTTATGCATCTAACTTGTTTAAAAGCAACTAAACTTACCAAAAAATAATAATTAAATTCTTCGATTATGCCTTAAATGGAGGTCCTGAAGTCCAGAAAAAAGTAACTTTTCCTTTTGTTATGATTATCGAGTCATCACAAAGAGTATAAGTTTATTAATGCACTAACAATTTTAAAATTATTTTCACAATCAATTTTCTTACATAGGACAATCTAATAAAAATAGAAATTATATGTTATTACATGTTAAACTATACTAATAATTTTTTAAAAGAAAATAACTATCAACATATACAAGTTAAAGTCCATTAAAGTTTTCTGACAGTCTTAACTCCAACAGGTTTGTTTTTGTCTTGTCATTTTTGTCACTCGTCTCAGTTCCCTTACTTCATATCTCGACATGAATCCAGATTAGTCAGGTCCCAATGCAATATCGGACATCGAGTGGAAAATTCAAAAGAAAATATTTTATATATAGAGTTAAATGAAAATTGTATACAAATGCTCATGAATTTACCAAAGCTTAAAGAGCCAAGGTATATTAATAAATTTGTAGTCTATAAAAAGAATGAAGGGAACAAATACAAAACTGAATTATTCATGTTTGTAGACCATAAAAAACAACAATAAATCATAAAATTTCTACTCAAATCCAAAGAAGAAACTTCATTGTGTGTAAAGAATTAGGATCTTTGTGTGTCTAACTAATTGCAGATCATATCCTTGAAGATGGCAAACAAATCTCCATTGATGTAATCGTTATCGACAAGGCTGACCAAGAAGTAACTGTTTTGAACCTGTAAAACGAAATGAAAATACCGTCTTATTAGTAGTTTACGAGCAAGAAACAGGTGTAATTTCACGGATGATCATCGTAGAACTAGCTTTTGTAAAGGGAAAATAACTCAACTATGTGCTACATATATGCATAGTCAAGTTATTTCTCCGTTATTAGTTTTATCATTTTGATGCAATAATGGATGACCATCTGAGAAATTAACTCACAGCACATATTAGGTTGAATGGCAAAGGGACAAGATAGAGGAAGGTGTGTGAATGTACCTGTTCGAGTAATGTTCTAGATGGATCATTCTCGGGGTATAATTGAGCCCAACCTCTTGACCAGATTTCAAATGCCTCGTCTTTCCATACCATGAAGCTGGCAGGATCAACGACGGTTGGTTGTACAATCTCCTTAGCTGGGAAGACGCCCCATGTCACTGCATTGACATCGACTTGGTTGACGTTGGACATCCAGTTTCCTTTCTTGTTCACAGCCATGTAGGTAAGGAAGGGGAAAGCCGTGCATTTTTCGATAACAGCATTTAACTTCTCACGCGAGCAAAAGAACTCTAAGTATGCCTTTTGATAAACAAATCCACCAGGACCACCCCATCCTGCAAAACAAGTTATTTGAAATTAAACGAAAGCATAATACATAAACTGATGCTCTAACTTGGCATTAGCTAACAAGTAAGCACTCCAACTTTGAGAGTGTTCATCTAGACACCTCAGCTTGGTCTCAACCTGCATCTAAACACTCAAACTCGTCCCTGCTGTATCTCATGGACACACTCGATGCTGATGTGACACATTATTTAGGAGGTGTCTAGATGATCATTTTGTAAGTTGGAGTGTTTACTTGCTAGCTGAGATCAAGTTTGAGCGTTTGTTTATGTATTATGCCTTAAAAGAAACAAATTAATCGTCCTTGTGTACAAATGAGAAGTTTAAGCATCAAACTTACCAACTAAAGGAGCATCGGACTTTGCACCATTAACTGCTGGTTGGCTGTTAATAGTCAGGAAACCTTTCGAGTTTATATTACCCAAGTGATCATCGATGATCTTTGTCTCTGCCTGAAGCCCATCTAACTCAGACCAAGGACAACTTCTCAGCTTCCCGAGACAGTAGTTCATAAATCTCTGATGATGTGAAAATTCCGTTAGGACTTGGAAATGAGTCGGGTTTAGACAATAAGTGAAGTGAAACTCAAAGCAATACCTCATAGATGTCTTCCACACTATTGAGAGCAATAGCCCATTCCTCTTGAAGTTTCTTATCACGTGAGCGTGCCCGCATGAACTGTTGGAGAGTGACAAAGGCAGCTATATCAGAGATAACGAATGTAACTAGAACATTCTAATCGATCAGCCCGAGAAACAGACAGTTCATGGGACTTCACTCAGATAGTTATATTACTTTGACCTTGTTTGCCAATTTAACCTTCAACCAAAGTTAAAGCTCCACAAGTAAAGCAGGATGAATAAAATCCTTTCTCATCTACACCAAAACGAACCTTTCTCCTTATTATAGCAAATATGATTCGATACGAAACAAAGAAAAGAGGGGCTTAACAATGCTCTAGGAGTGGATGGTTTCCTATACTATACCTTATAAATTCTGCACTTTTAGTGAAATTATTCAACTAGTTAAGACCCTTAAACACAGAAAAGTATGATCTCAATCACCAGATAATCACTAAGTGCTCCATATGACGGATTTTTAGCATTGCCCCATCGGCCATGTGGAAACTCATCCCAACCAATGGTTCTTGAGATGTAGCTCTTCGGACGGTTGGCCCTACCATCATTGCAAATGGAAGATCAGCTTCTAATTACAATAAGGAGAATTATTTTGACATTGATTTGTATCTCTACATACCAGAATATAGGACGGACATCTTCTTTGATACGGAAAACATTTGTAGGACGTCTCCAAGGTAGTGGCCTAGAAATTTTGGACTCTTCAATCAATCCAAGATTCTGCATTTTCCAGACAACTCACATTGTAAGCAAAATTCATTCTATTTCTGAAATCATATCACTATTTCAACATATTTTAAAGCACAAATTACAAGGTAAGAAGATTAACCATCAAAATGGCCAATGCTGATTTCTCCATGTTTAATGTATAAAGATGCAATGTCTTAATGCCACTGGCCATAATCTTCTTGCACATTTCAGTTCCAAGGTGAATTCCATATGCTTTGACAGCCTCTTCGTTATCCTTAATAGGTTCCAAGGCAGCTGTAATCTCTGCCGGGATCTATAATGTCATTAAGAAAGCGGGAAAAATGAGCATCTGGAGTGCAGGAGCCAGGAGCAGCTAAACATCCAAGTCAATCAACATGTCGTATTCAAAGTTATCTTTTTTACTAAACATAAAATACAATAACGGCTCACAAAAGCGTCCCCAAATATATAAAGAATAAAATGGATACCAACTGAACTTATGAATTTGATTGACCTAAGAAACAAGAAGAAGAAAAACAGTGGATCAATAACATTTGGTCAAAGTAAATTGAGCTTCCAGTTAGCATGTCTATGCAACACTTGGATAAATCATCTTCACCACCATGCAGTGGTACAAATTAAGTCGTTCATGCTTTGAGGTGGAAATGTGAAACAAAGAATACAGTTGTAAACAAGAACTGAGCCAAGTCGTAAAGGGTGGTTAAGAAGGTTGACTGACGAGGCCTAAGTGAAGTAACAGATACACATTCCAATAATGCAGAATATTGTGGTTAATTGAGAAAGACGAGCAAAGGGAGTCTTATTCAAGGAATTCATTCAACTAAAACAAACAAATAGTCAGGATTATTAGATGAGAATAGCTTGAAGATCTCTTCTTTTTTCTGGTTCATCGGGCCCAGAGACCAGCCCACAAAACTTCTTAAACATTAAAGGCTTCATAACATTACGTAAGATTAAGCACCAACAGGATAGTGCCAAAAATATATTTTGTAAAATGACATTTCCAAGTGTTGGAGCTGTCATGCATCACAATATGAGAAGGCAACATTTGAGCTGACATGCAGACACTTAATTTGAGACTGAGAATGGATTATACTCTAAAAAATAAGGGAATACCCTAGTTTTGCAAAATCCAGTCATGCGCAAGAAGCCCTTATAATTGTTGATGGGCATGATTCCTGGAACAATGGGACAAGTTATCCCAATTTGACGACAATCACTGACGAACTTGAGGAAATTATCAGTATCATAGAAGAGTTGAGTTACAATGAGATCAGCTCCAGCATCAACCTGAAGAATACAAGTTCCCACAAGTGTCAGAAACTTACGAACAAAACAAGAACACTTCACTTTTCTTCTTCATGGCAGATTAATGTAAAATATATTATATTCACCCAAAGATGAAACATAATGCTGGGAATAACTACCTTTTGTTTGAGATAGGCAAGTTCGTTTTCGTATGTCTCTAGTGTAGCTAGTCCAGTTGAAGGTATAACATCAGGATGCGCCTCTGAAAAGCAATAACATAGTCAATATCAGCATCGGAACAGAAGAAGAACCTCATATTTCTCAAGGTTAGTGTAGAAGAAGATCATATTGCAGAAACAAAAAAGGCAACCAAAATTGGACAAATTTTACTTTATACTTCCTCAGTTTCATTCTATGTGCTAGTATTGACCAGACACGGGGTTTAAAATATGAATTATGTCTTATTCTTCCTCTAATTCAATTTGTTTGTCTTACTTTCTTTTTTAGTTTGTTTAAAAAAGAATGCTACTTTCTATATTTAGCAACTCTCTACCCCCAACATTCTACATGGCATATTTAAGACCACAAGATTCAAAGGATGTTTCGGTATATTACACATATCTTTAGTTTCAGACAAACAAATTGAAATGGATAGAGTATATCTTATATTAGCAATAGTGAAAGAAAATACTAAGATAATTGCTCAAAAGTTAGTTTGATAGAGGAAACATCAAATCTTAATTTGGATAGTGAATTTGGATTCTTGTTAGTTGTTAAAGTAGTATAGAAGTATGATAGTATGAACCATTTTGGGACGTCCTGAAACGGAAAGAGTATCAAAGAAAATGAAACAAATGAAGTAATGAAATACACCAAAAAAATCCCAAGAAGATTGGTAACTAACCTGGGTAACCCGCAACAGTGATCCCAAAGTAATCCCCATACTTGGCCCGCATGTGCTTTACCTGCAAAGGAAAACAAAGGCAATCGAATTATAACGCAAATGATATAGCAGTATTAGAAGAATTACTGTATGAAACAAATCAATCAGATCCCAGATCAAAGACTATTACTAATAAACCTAAGCCGCATTCAAGAATTAAATTCAACGAGTTCAGAATGGGCGTTGCCATCATATAAATCAAGTTTAATACTTTTTCTGTATGTATACATGTTTCAAGATAAAAGCAATGTGTTCAGTTGGAACTGCTATGAACATTTGCAGATGCAACAAATTATCAACAATGGATCCAGCTGAACGCCTGAACCTGACATTCTTTTTTCTTTTACAACCGTGGTGTTTGGTCCAAGCTTGCGCGTGTCTCAACTAATTCCACGGGATGCTGCCACCTCCCACCAACAATAGGTACCAGGTAACTCTACACCAAGACTAGGACAGATGTGAAGAAATTAAATAGTGTTTTTTTGTCTCTGCTGGAATTTGAAACTAAGATTCCACCTCAACATTTTCAACACAGAAATATATATAAATATATACAAAGTACTTAAAAATTCAACAAAGATCGAATTTTGAACCCAACATTTCAAAATGTTTAATGTTTTTAGCAATCAAACATGTTGCACCTGAGACCCCATGGTTCCCACCTTGGCATTTTCAACACGGAACTATAGATATACATGTACAAACTATCTCAAAATTCAACAAAGATCAAATTTTGAACCCAATATTTCAAAATGGTGTAATGCATTCAGCAATCGAAACACGTTGAACCTAAGACCTCATGGTTCCCACCTCGACATTTCCAACACAGAAACATACATATACATGTACAAACTACTTCAAAACTCAACAAAGATCAAATTTTGAACCCAACATTTCAAATATGTAATGCATTCATCAATCAAACCATTCTAAACACATAAAAATCAAATCTTGGAATCAAAATTAGTAATTTTTACCAGATCTAAAGCACAAGCAAAGCCACCTTCAACTTGAACAAACTTATCTTGTCCATGAGGAGGATCTCCACGAAGAGCAAGAACATTTTGAATCCCATTAGACTTAATAGTTTCAAGAGCATGATCAATTTTCTCAACAGGCATATTTGTACAAGTCAAATGCATCAATGTCTCAACACACACCATATTCTGCATCCTATTTGAAATTTCAAGAGTCAGATCTGCTGTTGAACCACCAGCACCCCATGTAATATCACAAAAGGATGGGTTATGTGACACCATTCTTTCCATTCTTTCAAACAAATTATCAACCCCATCTTCAGTTTTTGGTGGAAAAAACTCAAAAGAGAAAACCACTCTGTCATCTTTCACAGATTCTTGAATTTTCTCAATAACCTTCATTTTATTTTTAACAATGTAGGATCAAATTGGGGGTGCTTAGGAAAAAGGGTTAGTGAAGAATCTTGAAAATGGTTAGAGGAAAGGTAAAAATAGGTAGAAGATTGAAGGAGTTTGTGGCCTTGCCATGTAGTCTCCCACAACCTTCTTCTTCTTCTTTTTTATTGTAGGGTCACAAAGTTTTGTGATTTTTATTTTATTTTTTATAATTATTTGGTATTCGAAATTTATATAAAGAAAGTGAGTAATAGATAGTTGAAATGACGTTTAGGTAAGCTTATATTTATGGTATTTGGGCTTTTTAAAAATGTCGTTAAAAGTGTAGCAGATTCTCTAGAAGTGGTGTATCTTTGGAGAATTTGACACGAATGTATAGCATCCTTTTCAAAAAGCCTGAGCAACGTAGGTTTATAGACAATAGGCGCGGCTATTCTACTAAGTAAGGCCTTCCACCAATACAGGTATTGAATGACTTTGGTACAAGAACTTAGGCAGGTAAAAACAAATCAACGCACTTCTCTTTCAACGAACTATGATTCATGGGTTTTCTGAACATGTTGTCGCATTCATGTTGAATAAAAAATGTATTATTTTTTAAGGATCTTACATACACTCAACGACGTTATTAAAAAGTCTGAGTAGTGTTTTATGTTCTTTTACTCCTAAAACTTGTAGTAATTGTTGTGGATGACACCTCTAATTCTAAAATCTAAGTATCTTTATTTTTTTTTAAAAACAATAACGTTTTGATCAATTTCACACAAGATATATTATTGATGTAATGTCTTGGCTAATTTGAGCGTAATTGAACAATTGACTATCGATTAGTGTCCCACAACAATATAAGGTGGACTCATTATCCACTGAACTTCGAATCACACTATGCACTAACCTTTGAAAATTTCTCGATTATCAACCAATAATATTCCTTAGTAAATTGAGAAAGGTTGAATTGGACCTTTTTTCTTAATGCAATCTATTGGTTACAATTGATAGCCCCCCACAAGTCCTAGCTGTGTATAAAGGGAAAGGTGGTCCAATTACCATGTGGGCCGTTGTTGGGGCTAGCTAGAGGATTGAATTCTGTGAATAGAATTGTTTTTGATAAAATATGTTCTTTTTTCATATATTTTATGTGATTTAATATTAAATTAATTAGGACTTCAACATGGTTCATCCAACTTTAATAGTTGGAGTGACATTTGAGCTTGACTTATTCAATATCTTATTTCTTCTTTTGTAATTGTGACCTCAAAAAACACAAGTTGTCATAGAAAACAAAACAATATAAATAATTTCAAAAAGTGCTGATTGTGACCCCTCAATTCTTTTTTCTTAGACATGATAATTTCTAATGAAAATAAACATAATTTAATTAATTTGAAAGGTCAAAAACAATTGGATAATGTAAGAGGGCACAACATATGAATAATTGTCTATATAAACTTTGAAAAATCCACAATAATCCCAAAAAAAATGAACTTTTTGTAGTTGAATTACTAGAAGAATATTATCCAAAAATCCCCATATGACAACTTAAACCTTTTTTCTTGATTTACAGTTTGAAACCTTTTTTCCGTTACGATTCATATAGTTCACTTCAACTTTCTTGGGGTTAATGCAAAATGCAAAATTTCAACTTTCATGATGTTTAGTAAAAGTCTTTTCTTCGCGACTGATTTACATATTCGACTCCAACTTTTTTGGGATTGATGCTATACCAACTTTCTTGATTTTTAGTTGAAGTCTTTTTTCTGCGACGATTCACATAGCTGACTCCAACTTTTTTGGAATTAAGGCTTAACTCTAACTTTCTTGGAGTCGAGTCATAATTTCAACTTTCTTGAGATTGAGGCGTAGTTGTTATATATAGTTTTATGTGAATCTCGTGAGATTAAAGAGTAGAAAAAAAAAGTGGATATGATTTTGCAAGAAGATGATGGTAATTTGGTGCCACCTACAAATTTCTCAGCAGTGGAAGATAACTGCATTTATAGATCTGGTTTCCCTCAGTCCTCCAATTTCCCATTTTTGCAATCACTCAATTTGAGCTCTATCATGTTAGTCTCTCTCTCTCTCTTTTATTGATAGTGAAGTCGTAGTATTTCTTCTTTAGTTTCTTGTCCTTCGATTTCTGTTACTATCGTTGTTTCTGGTAGGTATTTCAATTATCGCACTATTTTATTGTAGTTGTTGTTCTCTTTTCAGGATGATTTGTCGTGCTTTCTATAGTATTTTGTCAGTGACTACTTCACTTTTGTTATCTTTTTCGACCTGCTTTGATATGCTTTTACTTGAGTTGAGTGTCTTTTGGAAATGAATTCTCTACCTCCCAAGGTAGGGTAAGGTCTGCGTACAGTCTACCCTCTCCATACCTCAGTCGTGGAATTAAATTGACCTATAACGGTAGCCAATTCTGTGTATCACGTCCGAGGGGTGACCTAGTGGTCAATGAAGTTGGTTGAGAAAACCATGAGGTCTCGGGTTTTAATTCCAAGTAGAGGCAAACATATTAGGTTATTTTCTTTCCATCTATCCGAGTCTTGGTTGATAGAGTTAACTGTGTTAAATTTCACTGATAGTGTAAGTGCGTATAAGTTCAATTTCTCATTCTTCTTTTCAAGATTTTCTGATATTTTTGTTCTTATCATTCTTCCGCAGACACTGCTAACGCGGAATGTTTTGTGCATCAAACTGCCTTTTTTTTGTTATTATTATTGTGAGGATTGATATTTTGTTTTGTTGTTTACAGATGTTTGTGTCCAGAGCCTTATCCTGAAGAGAATTTGGAGTTTCTTCAATTTAACAAAGTAAAGCTTTTCCAATTTGGAATGGATGGCACCAAGGTAGTTCATTTATATTTCTTCTATAATTTGTTCCTTTATCAGTAGAGGAGGAGGATTGCGGTAGGTTAACGATTATAGTAAAAAACTAATCTAATTAATAAGTATCCTAAAAAGATACGAATTCATATAACCGACTCCAACTATCTGAGGATTGAGTAGTAGTTGAGTTAAAGATATTGTGTGTATGTGTTTCGTTGATGCGACTTTTGGTTTTTATAATGAGTTTAAGTTCTATGCATTGATGAGTGTGCCAAAAGTATGGGAAAAATGATAACTGACCTGTTATCACAGAGTAAAATTCATTGATAACGTAAAAAGATCTTTACGGTGTCACTGTATATAACTTAAATCCTCATGTAATATGATCAAATGGAAGAAATATTAGTTAATTTTCATCTTAAGAAATATTCAGATTCATGAAAGTTGAAGTTTTTTCTGTTTAGGAGTCATCGACTATGTCGAGGAGTGCTATAACAGAGGCTTTGAAAGTGTTAACGGGTATACAATCTTGAGCATTCTCTCTCCCTATCATGTTTTTAGGCTCATAATTCAAGTCTATGTTGCTCGGACTCTCCAAAAAATGGTGTCAAGTATGTGTCGGATCCTCCAAAAGTAGTGCTTTTTGAGGATCCGACATGGGTGAGGTAACATTTTTTGAGAGTCCGAGCAACAGAGCTAGGTTCTTATATATGCATGTTAACTTTCTTTCTGTATTTGTCTCCAGATGTTAGAAATCATCCAGTTCTTATCCACTGCAAGCGCGGAAAGGTACATTGATTTCGTTATTTTTAGTTCAAGCACCTCTTAAATGTGCACTTTTCTACAATAACCAACCTACTATAACCGATTAAATTACACCGATTGTGTAAATATATGTTACATTGTTGGTGTATATAAGTAAAATATGCTTCTTGATGTTAGAGTTGGACGTTTAAGCTTGAATCTTATCCGATTTGTTTTCTTAACTTCTGTTTGATCTTGGCATTGCTGCTTCGATTCTCATTTCTCGTGCTGATTGTAATAACACATACTATATTTGCTCCTGCAGCATCGAACAGGTCGCATCGTTGGTTGTCTAAGGAAATGGCAGACTTGGTGTTTGTCTTCTGTGATGGACGAGTACAAGCATTTTGCTGGCGCGAAATGGAGGGAAACAGATGTGAGATTTCTCGAGACTTATGATGTTTCGTGCGTAAGGCATTGCCTCGAGAGCATTATCTACACGTATTATGGTTCAACGAAAAGATGCTTGCTATGTATAGAAGAAATTCTGCAGAAACCTCTGATGACTTCTGTTCTATAGAGGCACTATATCAATCCTTATTGTATTTTGAAGGAATCGGATATTCTTTTGTTCGTTCAGTTGTAAAAATCCATTCTTTGTGTCATCTAAGTGAAAAGTTCTGTTAGGTTCTTAGTAACAGTCCGCGACCTTTCCTCTTTTACTTCACCAATTGTTCCTAATGGAAGGATATTTATTCAGAGATAAGGTTGATTGTTGGGGGTCTGGTTGCTGCTTCTTTTAGAATGGTGTTGTCTGATCCAGCTTTTATGTACCTCGACTAATTCACTGGGCATATACTTCCACCCACCTGCACGTTTATCGCGTAACTTTACCACTCATTATGCATAGTGGGTATTTACCTTGGAGTCCAAATTGGACCGAACCATTTGTCAGCTATGGTTCCCTTTTAGGTAGATGAGAAGAAATCACCTAGTGTCTCTTCTACCGGGATTCAGGTCTTGTTTCCCGACATTACTACTCCAACTTTTTGATTGCTAGGCCACTTCCTCGAGAGCTCAGGTTTGGTAATAAATAGTTTGAAGATAAATGAGAGATATTTTGGAGATTTTCTGCATTTTTCGAGTTGTCACAAAGGCAACAGTTTCAGAAATGTCAACAGAGAATATTGATGGAAAATCGGGTAATTCCCCTCATATTCATTGTTGGCTAATGAATCGTTTACATCTGCTTGCTTAACGCTATACAATTGATGTTTATGTTAGTAACGATGCCAACAATTAGGCCAAAATACTTGGCCTGTTATGCAAGTTGCAAGTTCTTGAAATGCACAGTTATCGCCTTTCATTGAAGTGATGCTCCATATAGCTTGTTTGCTCACTGACATGTTGGTTCCAATGTGTCGTAGCCTCGATTGGTTCCACCTTGATCAAAGGGGATAAATACATACATATTTCTAAACCTTGAACTGTGTGTGTATTATTTAAGTCGAAAGCAGTGACTGCAAAGAATCTATACTGAATGATGTATCAAAAGACAGCTAGCGGAAGAGCTAGGTCCAGTACTGAATCTCGTCTTTGGCTTTAAGGAGTCTCGAATTATTGTTGTCAGCATTAATATGTTGTGTATTCCCATCTGCTAAAAAAGAATTGGATGCACCATTTGGCAGTAAGAAATTGTTATTCAAATGAAAGTGAGACTCGTTCTGTCTTGCAGGAAAGCTCATTCGCGATGGCAATGGCAATGGTAATGGGAAGTCTGGGAGTTGTAAAGAAGTAGCTCCGAAACTCAAGTCCCCGAGGTAACTTGCACCAAAACTTGGCCTTAAATATTCGCTTCCCATGAAATGCTTTCTTTCGAATGGAATTGGTAGATCTTGAAATTGAACTCTGATATTTGAATCTTTGAGATTTTTTCGAGATGTTGTTGTGCAAGTCTGTTGCCCGTTGTTCAACATAGATGCTGAACGAACGTTTCCTGAAACACCATTCGTCTTGCTTGTTGAGGGCACTTCATGGTTATGTTTCCCTTCATATGTTGTGATTACTGATTTAAAGTCATCTGCTGCCCTTTCGACATGCTTCCTCACTATGCATCCAGCACTCGTACATTTGTAGTAGCTCCTACACATGAAACAATTCTTTAAACATACCAACTGAGTTAAAGAGTTGTGTTTCTCGGACTCTTTCAAAAAAACACATAAAATTGTCAACATACAACTACGCATTTTATACCTGGGGTTCGGGTTTCCTTTGACAACTTTCTGGCCATATTTTCTCCAGCGATAGCCATCTTCAAGAATATCAATTTCACTCGCTACCTGTAGGACTACTTTTGGTTCTCTCACTGTTCTTGACAGAAAACTTGGTTCAACTAAATAACCGTCTTTCTTCCTGAGGTCAATTCCACAACTTAAATAAGTTAAATAGATCACCATTCGTGTTACATACAAACACAATGAGTATTGGATCCTCTACAAGTACTAGTGCATTTTTTGAGTATCCGACACATGTGAGACAACATCATTGGACAGTCCGAGCAACTTAGCACACTTTTTACCCATAGACAGATGGTCAGGCTGAACGGACTGCTAGATGGATCAAACAAAAGAAAAAGAAGGGTGGGGAGGAAATGCATACCTTCTTTTCGTCTCTAATTCATACTCATTGATACCATCACCAAGAAAATTACCTTCTTGAGTGGCTAAATCTTCATCTTCAGCATCAAATATAGCAAGTTTAAAAGAAATCTCATGAGATTCAAACACATTGATATTGTTCGACAACATTGGATCGGAGGCATCAGACAGGACAGGTGCAGAGGGTATTCTTTCTAGTCCTGCAACATCTCTATTGTACTCAAATTGTTGATCATTTCTCCATAATGATGATCCATTTTCTTGGGCAACAACATATATATCATCTGTAGTTTTTCGTCGAAGATGTTGAGGTTTTGGATGATTATGAGCACCATTGTAGACAATTTCTATAACTTGTCCATTTGGTGCACACTCAACTTTTTTCCTCACAAGACAATTTTGTTGAGTACATTTATAGTAACTTCTTGGAAAATTACTCCCTTTAACTTGCTTTTGTCCATATTTTCTCCATGTGTATCCATCATCTGATGAATTGTTAGCACTAATGCTACTACTAAATATGCCTCTCTGCTCAAATTGTTGGTTTTGTTTCTTGCTAAATTCTTCTTCTTGCTGAGGGATTTCACTGTTTCTTGACTCAATACAATTCAAAATTTGTCCAACATTCTCAGTTGGTGTCTGCATTTCAGGGCAAACACATAACTTCCAAAATTTAATATTATATCAGACAAGTATTGAAAACATCTCGCAAATTATTAGTTTCATTTCTCTACTTGACTAACAAAACTTAGATACACCCCCGATCTACCACATGACATAGCAAGTGGTCTCAAATTCTTGTACGAGCATAAGACTCTTAATAAAAAGTAGAGGGAAGTATTGAAAACACCCCTAAACTTGGCGAGAATTTAGGGGAGTGTATTTCACTCATGTTGCATGATTGGGGGTGTGTTTAAATTTAGTTAGTCAAGTAAAGGATGTTTTTTAAGGCTGTCAATACTTCTCTCATATTATTATCAATGAGAAACGAAACACCGATAAAGCTTCATAGGACCTATAAACAAAAGTTACATACCAACAAAATGTACAAACCCAACCAAAATTTCATGTTGTACATGTTAAATTATATCAATGAGACACTAAACCACATATAAAGTTGTTTCTCTGTAACCTATACAAAAGTAGCATACCAACCAAATCATGTTGTACATGTTACTTTCTATCAATGAGACACTAAACCAGTAACCTATAAGTCACAAGTTTGAACTGTGGAAACAACAACTAATACAGGTATTATGGTAGACTGTCTACATTATACCCTTTGAGATGCGGCCCTTTCCCAGACCCTATGTGAACGCAGAATGTTTTGCTCATCGAGCTACGTAGACACTAAATCACTGACACAATTATGGTAAATACTACTCAATCCTTAATCATAGATCTCATTGCCTAATAATTTCCATCTATCACAACTATGTAAAAAATATTTACACATCATTTATTAGATAATTAAATATAAATCTTTTTGACTAATAATTTCCACTTTTGACTTTCACAAACATCATCTTTCAATATACCCTCACATAAACAACAACAACAACAACAAAAATCATGCAAATATTCAAAAATTCCATAAAATTAAATCCAAAAAAAATTAAAAATTTATACCAGTGAACTTGTTTGCATGAACGGAGAATCAAGCAATGCCGCCGGACTAATGCCGGGAGGTATCGTCAGAAAATCCATCCGGCAAGGTGGCGATGATGACGTGGCCGGTAAACAAAAATATCACTAGAAGCTCGTAAATAAACGTTCACCAGCAATAACAATAACATCGCTTCAATCCCAAATAAATGAAGAGAAATTTGCTCATATTGTCCGTCTCAAATACATTAAAAAAAAACGAAAAATTATAATAAGTTGATAGCCAACGTAAAACTACTAAATCTAGAAATACTTTGAATAATTAATGTAAAATATGGAAAATGATACCTGAAGTGTCACTACGTCAACTTGTTTGCCTCGAAAAAATCACATTTGGTTGCCTAGCATTCAACAAATGCTAGGCTTATTATTACTAATAATTAAGAGGAATTTTCACTAAACATTTATTTAGATTAACTTAAAATTTTCACAAATTCTTGTTGAGTGAAGTGAAAAGTGGATTATTTTTTTGTTTATCGTAAGGGAAAAAAGCTACTATAAGTAGTGAGATTTTTAAGTATTTAGTTACCATAAAAATAGGTTAATTATTTGGTTATCCTGAAAAAGTGAGAAAAGAGGTTTTTAGAAGGTTGAGAAATATAGGGATTTAGTTCTCTATAATTACTATTACTTTATCTTAAATTAATAATGATGATAATTAGAGGATAATTTAAGTTATATATACTGATAATGTATTTTTTTCATTATTAGTGAATTTTAACCTTTGATAATATACATGTCATCATTATTATTTTTATCAGGTTAATTACCACACTTCATATTTATAAACAATTTTTTATGTATGTATCTAATATATCATCCACGCATATAACTTGAGGAATATATTACTCTAAAAAGATCACTAATATATTGTGTTTACACTAAACTATATAAATTTATCATCGTTAAATATTTAAGTGAAGTAAGAGTATATATATTATTATACACGTCCATAATAGATAAATTACCATTTTTAGCATGTTATTGATCTCCTAATATGTACTTATAGAGATTTTTACTATTTTTTCCTATAGTTTGAAATGATTATATATTGTCTCACTAATTAATAATTTCATACCAGATTTTAAGTCAGATATACCTAGATACATGTATTTTTGCTATTAGATACACTAAAATAGCGAGAGAGGCGAGAGAGAGAGGAGGAGGCGGGTGAGATCTTCAAATACATGTGAATCACACTATATACATGTATCTAGGATACCAGACACATTTATGTATTTGGGATACCAGACACATTTATGTATTTGGAATGCCAGAGACATAGAGAGAAGCGAGCGAGAGAGAAGAGTGGCGAACCAGAGAACCAGAGACA